CTTTTATCAAAAAAAAAAAAATAAAAAAGAAAATTTTAAAAGAATTTCATTTATGCAAATCTAACCAAAAAAACTGAAAATGGCAACAACGATTATTATTATCATAAAAAATTTTGTGTAAATTTTATTTTTATTATTTTTGTTATATTAACAACGAATAAGAAGCTTAATAAAATAAATAAAGAATTAACAAAATCTATTATTTTCGCAGAAATTTAATTAAACAATTGATCTATATGTCCAAGTCCATTTGATGTGAATCTGTAAATATAATTAATATTATTTTAATAGACTTGATAAAATAAAAATTATTCAACGCAAAATAAATCAATCGTTAATAACTACCATCACAATTACCAATGATCGTAACTTTTGTTGAATTTACAGGTTGAGGAAGATTTTCGATTTTTAATAGCCTACTCGTATAAACAGCATTTGGATGTATAATTATTGAGGGATCGAATTCGACCTTGTCCATCTCATCAAATTCTTTTGGTTTTGCAAAATTTTTCCAATTATTAATGGTTTTAAAAATTTCCTTGGCAGTTGGACGTTTATCTGGATTAGCATCCATACACCTGTATGCTAATTCAATGTAAACTTTTGGGGTATTAATTGAGAATCCTGGTCTTATCCCTTCACAAATCTTAATTGCAAGATTTAAATCATGTTCCAAATCACAGAAAGGTTGTAATCCTGTTGACACTAGCGACATTAATACTCCAAAACTATATATGTCTGATTTCAATGTGTATGGCTCGCCTCTTAAAACTTCTGGTGCTATATATGGTAGTACTCCAATTATATTATTTGATGTTGATTGGTTGGCTGGAATTGATAATCCCAAATCAGCGATGCACGACTTTAAAAAGACGTCATGACAAAGTAGGATATTACCACCATGAAGATCATGATGAATGATTTCTTGTTGATGAACTTGTTCTAATCCCATAATAATGTCAAAAAGAACTCTAAGTTTATTTTCCCATTTTAAATTTTTATATCCTTTTGTTAAATAATTTTGAAGGCTTCCATCTTTTATATATTCCATTACAAATACATATTCTTTTGTAATTAGATCTTGTGCTAATCCATAAATATGAACTATTTCTATTTTATTTTGAAGCTTTGTATAATTTTTAAACTAAAATAACAAATAAAATATTTAATTACAACAATAAATAACACCTGAAATTGATAATAATAAAATAATTTACCTCATTAAGAAATTCATCAGAAATATTTTGAGAATTATCTAATTTTTTTAATACCACAGTCCTATCCTCAATAGTTCTTTCACCATGATTATATGTATCTTTCATACCATTTAACCAAGTAGCTTTGTATATAGTTGCAAATCCACCTTCACATATCCTTTCAATATTTGTTAAATCATTATAAGGAATCCATTGAAGATGATAATGATTATCATACTTAGTTGCTTTAAGTTGTGTACTTTTAATCAACTCATCTAATGTTTCATTGCCACTAGTCCATCCTTCAGTTAATAGTTTTGGATCACATGATTGACACCATGAATAATTGGTATTATATCTGTTGCATGTTGGACATTTCCCATACATTGCATATCTTTTCTTTGAATATTCATCATTTTTATCAGTAAGGTATCATTATGATGTTTATTTTCACCCAAAGTGTTTTCCATTGTGGTTTTTTATTATATTTGTATAATTTGTACAATTTGTCAAAAAAAAATTTTTTCTAAAGAACTTTTTTTTTCAGCCACAAAATATGTATCACACAAAATATATTAATATATCAAAACCTGAATTACTCTCATAAATAAATTCGACATGCACCCCAAAGTCGTTAAAGACATAAACCGTAATAAATATTGCAAGTCTGTAAATGGCAAAATCACTAACAATCACACTGTTTGAATAGGGTTTCTATTCGAATAAGGTTTATTCGAATTATTTGTTTTACACGTTATGAATTTTGAGTTTTGAATTAAATTGGAAGTTTATTCGAATAAAATGAATAACGAATAATTTGATAATTCAAGTAGATAATTCAAATAAAAAATTGAATAAAACGAATAAACGAATAAATGAGTAGTTCGAATAGTTCAAATAAAACAAGTAATTCGAAATAAAACAAACGAATAAACTAAAACGAATAATTCGAAATAAAATAATTTGAAATAAACAAAATAATTTGAATAAAATAAAAACGAATAATTTGAATAAAACGAATAAACGAAATAATTCGAATGACTATAATTCCAATGATAGCAATTTGAATAATAAACGAATGATAACAATTTGAATAATAAACGAATGATACAATTCGAATAATAAATGAATGATAATAATTTGAATAATAAACGAAATGATAACAATTTGAATAATAAATGAATGATGATAACAATTCAAATAATAAAAGAATGATAACAATTCGAATAATAAACGAACGATAGCAATACGAATAATAAACGAACGATAGCAATTCGAATAATAAATGAATGATGATAATTCGAATAATAAATGAATGATAACAATTAACGAATGATAACAATTCAAATAAACGAATGATAACAATTCAAATAAACGAATGAAAACAATTCGAATAAATGAGATGATAATTCGAATAATAAACGAATGATAACAATTTGAATAATAAACGAATGATACAATTCAAATAATAAACGAATGATGGTAATTCAAATAAACGAATGATAACAATTCGAATAATAAACGAATGATAATAATTCAAACAAAACGAATGATTGAATAATTCAAACAAAAATTTGTATTATGGATAGAAACTTTACTATATTGCAGAGTCATCAAATCTAGCACAATAATGTTTAAACTAAACTAAAATCACCATATACAACTACAATACTTGAGGCGTCCCTACAAGCAATATAGTAAAACCAATAAAAGGGGTTCCTAACTAATAATTAAATGTTGGCCAAACCATTAATCATCAGAAAGGGTTATGAATCAATTAATGAAAGTGTCATTATTGAAAAATCAATTGTTTTTAAATTTTTTTTTCACTGAAGGAGATTTCAAGCATATTTATACTTCTTGAAGTATTACAAATAACATAACTTTTTACATGATTTTGTCCAATAAAATAAAATAAATGAATGATAACTAATTGACAATTACTAAATTAAATGTCAAAAATGTGTCATTGATGATTAAATGATACCTGATGAAATGTTTTTTGTCATAATTAATTAAAAATAAAATTATATTCATTGAAGTGTCAGATGGTAATCAGCTTCAATTTGTAAATGTTAACTCAAGTGTTGAGAATAATTTGTCTTCCTTGAAATATTATTAAAAGAAAAATATGGCAATGTGGCTCTGGACACATTTGTATTGTACCAATTCCATTCAATTCATTAATGTCATAGAAAACTTTGATGAACTTTCTTTGAAGTCAACGCAGCTTTAATAGGGAAGGCTTCTGTTTTTTGCAGGAAAATCAAATAATTAGCTGAATAAATCCCGAACTAGAATAAATATGCTATTGATCCAGAATTAAAAGGGCACAACAATCATGATTGTTATATTGTAGTTCTACTCTAAACCTAGAAACATTATCATCAAATCCATCATCTTTAAATACTGTTAGTTCTCAAACCCATACTAAAAAATAAATAATTTATGAGAAGGAAGTAAAAAAAGGAGTATTGCTTGAAAGTATTTCTTTAAATGAAACCTCATCAGAAGCTCAAGATGTTCAAAATCTTAATGATGAATCTAACTCATTACAGTAAGGATTACTTGTCATCACCACTCCTCTCATCACTTTCAATGTCAATTTTCTTGTTTAGCAAGTGCATCAGTTTCACAGATCTTAGATGGTACTCAGAGGATGCAGAAGAGAAGTTGTGGAATATCTGTTACTAGGTACTGGAGTAAAGTATCATCCTCATCATGATATGTTTTCAGTATTTGTCAGATTTGTAATGTATTTTACTCTGGGTTCAGCCCATTCTAGCCATAAGCCTTGCATTCTCTTGTCTCAATAAATCTAATTCGTGTTGCATGTTCAATAATAACTTTTTATATAATAATAAGGCATAGATTTATTCCAATTCCGAATTAATGCATGGAGTACACCTTTTACAAAATATAAAAAATCACATGTGCACTCTTTTTTGGAATGCCAATCATTTTTGCAAGAAAAAATTTGAAATCATTCACCCATCATGCACACATTGCAAAATCCAGGATGCAAAAATATGGGATATCAAATGATGGAATCTTCAAATGTATATCAATCACATTGAGAATCAGGAATTTTTTTTTTTTGACATGGATTTATGTAATTATTACACTATTTACATAAGTTTATGGTGGACCCTGTAATATTATGCAATTATTACATTCAGTGTAAAAGTTACATAATTTTTTATGCAAATATTACAACTTTGCATATTAAAATTTATGGACATAATATTACAGTGGGGAAAATTTCCTGGTGAGTACAGAGCAATCAAAGTCACAAAGAAGTTTAAAGCAACCAAACTGTTGACAGATGGGTTTAAACTGATGAAGTTTATGCACAATTCCTGAGTGAGTGAGCTCATTTCAATAAAATGAAAGTCAGCTACAAGTTGCTGGAATGTTTCACATAGGTAAGTAAATAATGAATCTGCATTTTTTTTTCCAAAGTAAACTGATTTAATTTGAGTTAAGTCTCAAGTTTTACAAATGTGTTGTCCCAAAAGGTATGTGACAGTATTGAGCTGAGAGAAGCTTCTTGAGGTGCCAGTTGTAGTCAAAAAAATCAAAGATCTTATCAGGGTGTCGGCTAGTGTGTGGAAGATGAAGGCATGTTTTATCCTCATTTGTTTTAAGTTTCATCAGTGAATGCATTATTTTCTCATTACCTTCATTTGCAAATAGAAATAATTGTGGATTGCATAAAGAAGGTGTGGTCACAGGAGTGCATTTAGAGGGTAGTTTTATATGAATGGGTCCAGGAAAAGACCATACAGTGCAGAACATAGAGGGAGTGCATTTATGGAGGAGGTGCACTTATGGATGGTTGACTGTAGTCAATAAATCACAGTTAAAATGATTGCAGAAATTTCAAATAACATAGTAAAGTTACCCAACTTTAAACCATTATAACTTTTTTTTTTTACTAAATAACTCAAAAAACAAAACTTTCTATTACATTATTTTTCATGTCTAGAAGATTGCAAAAATAGAGAGGTTTTGGTAAAATAGCCCATATTTAATAAATTATCAGAATTTAAAGATTGCAACGTTTTGTGACGACTACCACTATAATACAAATGCTCACTTTTTCTGGTTTTGTTGCAGCATGCTCCATACAATATTTAACTATTAACCATTTTGTAATGCTTTTGTCCAATCCCATTTGTCCCAAGGTTTCTTGAATTCCTGTGCTCGTTTATAATTATCCTTTGTATCAAGTTTCTTAGGTCTTCTCCAAACTTCTGGAGATAAATCACAAATACCCGCAATAATTTCCTAATTTTTTTAAAATGTTTATAATAAATAAAATAAAAATTTTTTAATGAAAAAAAAAATAAATGAAATTTTAACAACGAACCTTTCCAAACCATTTAGGAAAATTTTCACTTTTTTCAATTATATGACCATATCCACCATCCAGACCAAACCATACATGAAAATATGGCAATTCTTTAACCATTGAATGTCGAAATCCTCTTTTTGAGGTATCAATGATTTTTTTATTTTGTGACCATTCACTTCCACTTGCTATAATACTTTGCTTGAAGTAAGCCGGTGCATCTTCTGACATATCCCATGGTAGTGGTATACATTCTATCACTGTATGATTATGATATTTAAGATTGATCACTGTCTCCATAAATATTACTCCACGGTCTTCTTCTGCAAACATCTTCATTAAACATTTCATAAAATTCTGCACAAATATATAAATATAAATATTAGTATTAATATTAATTTAATAACACACATATATAATATTTACTCTAATTTCATCCCATGAATCATCATCACATTCCAATGTGGAAGTGACATGCTGAGTTGGTACAATTAAACAATGTCCTTTAGTCATCTCTGTTACATTTGGTAATGCAAGATATGCTCTATAACCTATTGCAACAATGGCAAATGGTGATGATTTAACCTTGTCTTTCACACAATAAATACATTTTTCTTCAGCTTCCTTTGATTTCAAGAAGTCTAAATTGAGGATAAATTTAAAATATATTTTTATCAAAAATAAGAATATAACAACAAATAGCAATCATTAATTACCATTGACAATAAATGTCCGACTTTGTTGACCAGTTTTTTCTTGAAATTTTGCTATATCGTCAGCATTTTCATCCATATATTCTAAATTATCCTACAAAGAATTTAAAATTAATTGATAATAAAAATAATAAATAATGACAATAAATATAAATAATAATGATAACAATACCTCATATTTTGAATCATTCCCTATTCTAGTCACTATTTGTTTAGCAATAGCAGATCTGGTCTCATGCCTTTCTTGACGTACCATCTCTAGTTACATGTAAATTATTTTATTTAAAAAACTATGACAATTATAATAATACTAAAACGCAATAATAAGATTCTTTGTTACCATTAATATCAAATGTTAGAGCTCGTTCTACACTTTTTCCTTGCTTTTTTGAAATACTTTCAACTTTTTTATCCGAATCTTCTGAATCACCCTACAAATTTATATAATATTATATATATATGTATATGCATTATAACAATAAATAATTAAATTATTTTTTGAAAATAGTACCTTTAAAAATAATTCTCTTCTCATACTTTTTGCAAATTGTTTATTTGTGCTAGTACTAGAAACTGGGTTTTCTTGATGCAATAGATCTAAATAATTCATAAATAAACGATGATAAATAAAAGGATACTATATAGGAATATTATAACAATTAAATCATACCATTTACTTCAGATTTATTATTTTGTTGCACAGTTTTCTCATCCGAATTATCCTACATGAAATTATACATATAATTTATAACATATGTTATAATTGAAGTCCATTACACAATCGAAATAATACCTGTAAAAATAATTCCCTTCTCATTCTTTTAGCCATCTGTTTATTCATAGAAGATCTAGAATCCGATTTTTCTTTATACGGCAAATACAATAAGTTAATAGCATGCTTCAACATGAATTCTATTATACATAAAGTAGATAAACTAGAAACTACCATTATCTTCGGATCTAATTTGCTGATCTGTATTTTCTTGTTTTTCAACTGAAATGTCAACTTTCTCATCCAAATGTTCTAAATCATCCTGAAATTAACGATATATATATATATTATACGTTAAAGTTTTATTTCATTTATCGATAACAAGTAATAGTACCTCAAAATCTGCATCTTCCGTTTTTCTTTTTGTCAATTTATCCATATTATTATAATAATAATAATAAGTGAAATAAATAAATCATAGAATAAATTGATGTTACATGAGCGTTTTAGCGATTTGATAATAAAATTACCATGGTAAATTAAATTAAATGGCAAAAAAAATAAAAAACAAATATAAGTAGATATTAAAATTATACATGTTTTATTCTCCAAAAAATTAGGATTTATTAATAGGCTTAGCAATTTATTTGGGCATCATATGTTTCTTTGTTTTTGTCCTATTATTAGGACCGTCTTCAAGATTCAGGTGAATAATAATAATAATACTATAATTATCAATGTGTGTATATATATATATATATACACGCATAAATAGATCTGAATTATTGTCAACTTTTCAGAAATGGTCCAATTGGAAAATTATATAATTTTCTAACAGTAACATTAATTGAATGGATATGGTAATTATTTTTACAATGGTTTTCTTTCTCATAATATGACTTGAATTAACATATCTTCTTTTTTAATTTAAGGATTTTAACAAGAAAAACTTGTGGGAATAGCATGCCAAGAATCTTTGATTATGCTTATAATTATTGTGCAGAGGAAAAAAATCCAACTTTACAAGTAATCTCATGATGATTTAATATTGAAAAATGAAAGTGCGAGTATTTATTTGATTAATACTAATTGTAATATCATTGATCATTATTTAGCTCTTTTATTTATTTTTATTATCAGGATCCATTTGGGTATTTTATCAAGTTGGATGGGATCATATTCCTGGACCATATATTTCTAAATTACACACGTGAGCAAAAAACTATTGTTTTAATAAATGTTATTATTTATTTACGATGAATCTAATTATTTACCTTTCATATAAGTATACTTACGATTCATATTATTTACATTATTTAGATTGCTCATTCCAATAGTAATAATATTTACGTATTTAACATTTTATATAGCATGTTATAGTGATCCAGGAAAAATTACTAGAAAAAATGTTTCAAAAGCTTGTGAAATGTTTGATTATGATTTTTTACTATTCGAACCAAAAATCTGTAAAACTTGTCTAATACAAAAGTAAGAATTAATCTTATAATAATCTTAATAATAATAATAATAATAATAATAATAATAATAATAATAATAATAATAATAATAATAATAACTTTTAACAATTTTATTATTATTACTATTTATGGAAAGACCAGCAAGATCAAAACATTGTTCGTTATGTAAAATGTGTGTAGCAAAATTAGATCATCATTGTAAGTGGTGAAATCAATACAAATTACAAACAAAATATATCAAACTATATAATACTAATATTATTTTATTAGGTGCATGGATTAATAATTGTGTTGGATTAGACAATTATCGTTACTTTTTATTATTTCTTTATTCAATAATTCAGATATGCTTTTATGGCACATATATTATATTTAACATATTCTTGGGATTTGCTAAAAAAATGAATCTACAATATGCTTACACTACAAATATACAAACTGGTGTAAAAACTCCGCTTAGTATTTATCAAGGAGCTTTGGTAATAAATGATTATTGAATATAATAGAATTCATTATTTTAATATTTAATATTTTAACATTTCATTTATTATATTAAATTATTTTTTTGCTACACAGTTTTTAATTCATCAAGAAATATTGTTGGGCGCACTTGGAATCTTTGCATTGTTAGTAGGATTTGTAATAACGTTTTTTCTTTTTTATCAATTCTATTTGATTTATTGTGGTACAACTTCAAATGAAGCTTTTAAATGGGAAGATTTAGATGAAATAATTTCTAATGATGAATTATGGGTTTATGATGGAAAAACCCCTAAAAATAAACAAAACAACATGTTACCATCATCAATATCATTGTCATATAATAACGATGATGATGGGAAGACATCAATGAATAATAATAATAATTCTAAAAATAAAAAGAAAGCAAAAAGAAATAATGCCGGAAAAAATAATAACGATGACGATGATAATAATAAGAAAGAAGAAAAGTTTTTTGGAAGAAGAACTACTGCTATGTCTATTTACTGGATTCAGCCAAATATCAAGAAACGTCAAGTATCCACTGATAGTAAAAATAGTAAAAATGTAAACGGTAATAATAACAATAGTAATAATAATGGTAATGATGTAAATATACCAGATTCAATAATACCTTTAAATAGTAAAAGTGGAAGCAGTAATCAACATGGCAATGAAAAAGTAAATAATCAGGATGTTAACTATAATAATAATAGTGACAACAATAAGAGAGTTATAGGAAGACCAATAAAATCATTAAAAGAAATTAAAAATATTTATGATAAAGGACTTTTCGGAAACATTTCTGAAATCTTGTTTCCTCCTGCATTAGAATAATAATTAATTAGATAATAATATTAAATTATATGTTGTGTAGCATTTTTTATTTTTTATTTATTATTTTTTTTATTTATTATTTATTATTTATTATTTATTGTTTATTATTTATTAAAAATTTTTATTTATTCAGAATCACCACAAGAACTATATGATCCTAATAAATAATTGAACTGGCTTGTATGTTTGATGATATTACGCCAATATTATTACCAGTAATGGTAATATATAGGTCTGAATTACTAACCTTTCTTCTGTAATGTATATTGTTATAGTTGCTGCTGGTAGTGATTGTAGTAGGGCCAATTTATTTTGATCCAAATATAATAAGATTTTGTAGCTTTATATGGTAAATCCTTTGTCTGAAAAATATATGTATCATATTTGATTGGCCAATTTCAATTTCACACGTCTAAATGTTCATCAATTGATTGATAATCTTGCTTGAACTTGTCAATTTTTCATCTTCTTTCATCTAAAATTTCTTAACATCACTGTTATGCGACCAATTTATTATTAATTTCACCAGTCAATTGGTGATTTTGTAAAATATAAAATAAATATATAGTCGAACCTTCGTTGAATAGCACAAATAATTCGTTGAGACGAACGATCAACAAACTTAAAAATTTTTTTTATAAATTTAGTAAAAGTTAAAATAATTTGTCAATTAATTACTTGTTGAAAAAAACCAATATCAACACAGAGACATATAATCACACGACACGCTAAGCTGCCGACAAAAATATCAGGTATATTAATATTGTTAATATTTTTGAATCACAATTAAGATACTTGAGAATCTTTTATTATTATTAATTATAATAGTAAGTAGTATATACATATAACACACTGTTAGGACCATCAAACGCCTAACGTTATATACTTAATTGTAAATTTATTTATATTGACAATCAAATATTAAAACGATAATAATTGATTTTTAAATATCCATTTAGCGCAATCACTATTATTAAAAATCGTTATTTTTTGTAACATGAAATTTTTTTCGCTTAAATTTCAGGCATACGATCAATCTACTCTTCCTCCCTTTTGATCTATAAATCATATTGTCTCGTGGCCTGTTTCTTGAGTTTTCGTTGATTCTGGTTATGTTGCTGTTGGCTCTGATATTGTTGCTGTGGTCCAACAGACAGAGTTTGGTTATGGATTGTGCGTGACTATGTGTTGGGGATTGATGGATGTGTCGCTGGAGGAGAAGGACTCTAGTATGCAAATCAACAAATTTGTTAAATGCATAAATAAAAGTTTTAATCATCACCCATTGGGATACCGGTGCTTGTATTACAATATATTTAAAAGATTAAGTTTTATTTTGGTCTGCTGATAATAAGTTTGGCTAACAAGGAATAATGAATTGTAATTAATTTGTCCATATTAATATTGGTCAGATCAGAGAATATATGATTAAGTTTAATTAATATTTAAACAGCGAATCGTTGCTATATAGAATCACATATTGTGCCTATCTAGCTGGTAAAGGAGCGTTCATGATGATGGTAATGATTAGGGATGTCCACCGAATCTTCTTTTTCAGTAGTATCGAAACCGAAAGTGTACTTGAAAGTACTTTCGAACATTCGCAAGTTTGAAACCTAAACCAAAAGTCAAACTAGCTTAATTCTTCTCTCAATCAACTATCAAAACATTACCAAAAAATCTGTTTTTTTCTAAATTCGAACCTTTTTTTCCCAAACAACCTTTCCTTATTAATCTTGTTATTAACTGGTTTCTTTTCATTTTGGTTTTCATCATGACCATCACTTATATCATTTGTTTCATAATCATTTGTTATATTTTCACAACATCCATAATCATTGTATCTCCACAAGTTGCAGGTTAATTTTGGTATTAATACTAGCCACTTCTGTATCAAAAACTTTTTCTGAAAGCACTTTTCTATTAGATGGTGTGTAGGCAGGACTAAGTTGTCCAAAGTAACTCAATAAAATATAATATTAAAAGGTATACTACATATTACAAATGCCTCGATTAATGCTCTATTAATATTATCATTCCTTTCTTGGTTAGTATTGTGCAAACCTAATTTTCTTGTTTACTAGAAGAAATTTAATCGAGTATTTACAAATTTCTCTATTACAACCACCACATTCTTTTCCCAGATGTTTTCAAATTCCATGGATAACCTACAATAGCAACACCTTACAGAATAATGTCCTTTGCTATTTTTAACCTCACTTCCTTCACAAAGTGTATCCAAACATTTGAAAGAAGGTCGTCCAATAATTCACGAATTTCTAATTTGATTCTAAAAATACGTAATTATGCAAAACCTATTCAAATATTCAAATATAATATAATTAAATAATTAACTTCATCAAATAACTGCCACATAAGATGAAAATAATTCCTCTCATGGAACTTCTTTTACATTATTAATATATGTACCATTGTCGGCGGCGGTCAAGCAAATTTTCTTAGATTTTATACATATAATCTGTACAATAATTAATTATCTATTTTTTAAAAAAATCGAACTATATTAATTAATATACAATTGAGATTTTGACTTTCGGTTTTTGAACCGAAACCGAAATTTTACCGAAAGTGTTTAAGTAGCTTGCACAGTTACAGTGGACATCACTAAGCTGAACCGCTTCCAAACATTCAGCTTGATCCTCCCGTTTTCGAGCATGGTTCTATACAAGATCTTAGTGAAAACCCGAGGAAAAACAAGATGAGATTGAGAAGATCGCACGTCGAATCTTTAGATCAGAACTTACTGCTTAGTAAGCTAATCACATATGATGACTGAATATTACTATTTCCTACTGATACAAAGCAATGAGTTCTGTACAACATTTCGTGTAACAACAAACTTCCACTATGCTCCAGAAATGTGAACTGTGAGAAACGTCCAACCCAAACTGACTTGATTGTTATTCCAACCGTGAAATCTTGGACAAGTCAAAAGTCACAGCCCTACCTTCAAATTTGATAACAGTGCCTCCCTTTTCAAAGCCTTCCTTGGATTTTCTGCACCTTGATGATGGCCAAAGACAAATGGATCCACTTGCATAAAATGGAAACACGATACTAAGCAATCATCCATTGCACATCTATCTACACTACTGAAATATGCTAGAACAAGTTGTGGATGATGAATTAGAACATTTCTTCAAACATGACAATTTTCAAAACCATGGAATGATGCACAGCTTTACCTACATGGAAAAAAGAAACATCTCACTTAATGCAATCCATGCAGACATTCCATCATAGAAAAACATTGTATAATTTGGTCATGAAGTATCAGATTACACCATTGTAACCATCAAATGGAGAACCATGTTCCAAAGGGTTCCCTCAGCCAGAATCAGACAAAACCTATTGCTCACCCAATGTCTATTTTCATGTAAAGTAAGAAGACAGGTCACATAAATTTTCAATATGTGATGTCCATAGGATTTTGTGAAATACATTACAAATCTGACAAATACTGAAAACATATTGCGAGCGTGCAATCTGAGTTTCCTATTTAATAGGTTATTTATAGCTCAACACACAGCCTCCTCGCTGACTTACGGTCGATTCTATTGTTTGACACACAGCCTACTTGCTGATTTACAGTCAATTTCCACTATTTATATATATATGACACACAGCCTACTTGCTGACTTACAGTCAAAAATATAACTTTTATCTTTTCAGATAAAAGGGTCCCTAGGTTCTATGTAAATGATTATATCCCAAAGGCGTCCCCTTGAGATGTCTCTTGATAGTTAAGATACTGGTTAACTGCTATGGGTCGCAAAGGTTTCCCCTTTGTGGTTTATTAATTAGTTAAAGGTTATTATTTTCAGGGTAAAATATGTTATGTGTTTTATTAGCGATAATAATATTATTATTACAGTGTATTAGGAATATTAATTGTTAGATCAATAATTAAAAGATTGTTATGAACATGATTTTTCTGACTTGGTCTAAAACCAAGTCCTTTTATACCTCTTGGGGTATTACAAATAACATGACTTTTACTCTAGTTTG